ATTCCTGTTATATTTCAATAAGGCTTCAATGGTATTTCATTTCTGCTGTATCAAAAGGCAAGAACTGGCAAGTTGGGTAAGGGAAAATCACGAGCCGGAAAGGGTTAACACGTGCCAAACCCAATTCTAGGTAACACGATACACAATTAGGATTTTTTGCAGTAAACTTCGACAGCGAATTCATGACATTTAAGCATTTGGTTTTATTTGCATTTTAAAATTTACCTGCACACGTGACACCATTTCCACTGTAGCCTCTCTGACAGTTGCAGGTGAACGAGCCATCAGTGTTTGTACAATCTGCATTGGTATGACAATTGTGTGTGGAAACTAGGCATTCATTCACATCTATAGGCAAAAAAAATTTTTGAACTGATGTAATTTTGCATGCAAACATTAAAAAATGTATCTTCTAGAACAAAAGCAAATGTTGATAAAAATAAGATGCAATTTATTTAAGCTAGAGATAATCAAATAATGTAGGGACAATTCTTAACATAACGTGATCTGTTGCCCATTTGATTGTCATACAAAATGATGTTCTTTCAATATCTTTATCATTATCATCTTACATAACACTATTCAAATACCATTACTGCAAATCATATATTGCAATTATACTTAAATTAACTGGAATAACTATAGACATAAATTTACATAAAGTTGATACTACTTTTAAAAATGAACCAATAATTGAATTTAATCAACAATATTTTATAGAAAACTCGCATTTCTTATAACATCAAAGTATCTACAATACACCTGGTTAGAATTTCTACAGCTACTAAATTTTGACAAATTAAAACGCCAGCTCAGTTTTCTTTCAAATAATAACATTGTTTTATATGACGTTTATAGGCCTATATTCAATACTTTTCGACTGGTTTCGATTCAATGTTATTATACCAAGCCAAAACAACAAACGTTGTTTGGGAATACAAATATGGTCCTGTTTTTCTTCATTCACTGGGAGCTATAAATTAATATTAAGAGCGTTGACACTAATTTTCAAGAGAAAGTCTGGCAATCCCCTCTTCTTTTACAAACTATGTCAGCTTTTTTTATGAAATAAGGTAATGGAATTGAAAATAAGTTTGGTCAACATTGGTTTGTTGGAAGCTGATGATATTTTATAGCTTTACTCATTATCAGCAGTTTTAATGCCACATAAAAGGTGGAAAACAGGACGCCTTTACATGAGTATGCTTTTCTACCAACATCTTTAGTGTTTCAAACGTTTCATAATGCAAAAAAATAAACATAGACAGTGCCAGCTACTACAGAGTGGGCGGTTTATGGGCGTGGTCAGCAAAACCACGCCCCTTTTGCCTCTTTTTATTTCTTTGTACCAGGTTAACTTTCTTAAAAAATTTTCATCTACCCCTACCCAGCGCTTTTTGATCCGTTTTTAGAAGAAATAGGTAGACCATGTTTTCAGAAAAGTGAAGTGTAATTACACCTCCTACCACCCCTTGGCGTCGCCACTGAACATAGATATATATTGTTTCTTGCAAAGGTATTTTTTGCTTTGAGAAAGAGAATCAAGTGTATTGATATAAAGAAACACAAAGTTATGACAACATATAATTCATACAAAGTTTACAGCAAAAAAACTCTAAAATTCCAGATCAATAAAAAGGCTGGTTCCTTTCTGTGCAAACGTTGTAGTGGCAACAAATAATTGAAACGTACACAATTTTAAAAACTCTAAAATTTCAGGCCAAATTAAAAGGGTAGTTGCAATCTTTGCAAGAAGTGATGTTACTGCTTCTTAAACTTTGTGTTTATTAGTAGTAGCAGTTAGAACTAGTTATCTCATTGTAAGACAGCTTTTATTCAATGAAAATGTTTTGCTTTCATTTTCTTAAGGAAGACTTCTACATTTAAGTACTTATACCATCTTGTTTTCTACACTTTTTAACATTCAAATGTTGATGTGAATATATATTAATGATTTAGAACTCGTTGATAAGAAGTGAAATATTTTGGTTTCCATCCTGCCATTACCTTGTTCACAATGGATCCCTGTGTAACCTTGAAAACATTGGCAGACGAAATTCCCAATCTGGTTCGAGCATGTACCACCATTAAAACATGGAAGACTTGCACATTCATCAATATCTGTGGAAATAACTTTTTTTAAATCCAGGACGCCTTTAAAACCAATCTTGACTGAATGAAAGAATACCTAATTTAACTTTACTTGAAATTTTAAAAAGTAGAGAAAAACCTGTTACAATATATTTGACTATCTTCCTAAATTGTTTTAGGTTATGAAAAGCTTTATAATCAAACACTTTGCAAAGTGAAAAACCATGCAGTTATGAAAAGCTCTAGCCCGTAGGCCAAGGTACACCTCAACCTGATTTAAAATGACCTCATTGAGGTTGAACTGTTATAAAAATAGATACTTGTCTTTTCAGCAAAAGGCCCTTGTTTAGTTTGATGCTATATCTTATTGGAGATCATATCCAGGGTCTGGGTTAACGAGTGAATCACCCGAAGCCAATGTACACACAGCCTATGAGCTCGCCTGTGTGCATGCAAACGCATATAGCTGTTTTGTTTTCTCGAAATAGATCGGAGCTTTGATAGGAATTTTATAGAATGATCTGAAACTGATGAGGAGGAGAGCCAATTACTTGGACTATAGTTGTTTCGATATTCATAAACCAACGAGCCTGGGATTTGGAGGGGCTTTCAGAGGAAGAGCACTGGTAGTTCTTGCAATTATTTGAGGAAAATTGTTGCGAAATTTTTTTTAGCAACAATTTCGTGTCGAATATAATCTACAAAATATGGCCAGATATCTGAAACCAAACAGCTACCTTTCGCACCTAACCGTTAAAGCCTTACAATTAAAGCCTGACGTATGCCCAAGACTAGCGTATGAGCAAGACAATATTTCATACCGCTTTATGGTGATGTATGGTTAGCAAATAACATAAATGTAGCTAATTTATGTTGATAAGGGACTAGTAAACAATTGTGCCAAGGGCTTCACCAAGTTCCATGTTAATGTGTCTACGGCAACTTGGAAAACAAAACGTATCCGTTAGCAGTCATATCAAATAAAGTATTGCGATTTATCATAAAAACGATATAAAAACAACCCTTCAGTAGTATTTATTATCACACAACAGTTTAAAGCCTGACAAGAATTTTGATCAAACAAATTATTGAGTAAAAAAACAAGACTCATACCGATATCACAAATTTTCCCTGTATATCCCTCAAGACACGTGCATTCATAATCCGAACTTTTGTTCAAGCATTGTGAAGCATGTTTGCAAGGGTTGCTAGCACAGGCATCCACGTCTAGGAAAATTAAAAAATCATTCTCTTCAGGAATTTCTCTATAATTAGCTTGATAAAATTTAGTCAAAAATCGAATACTTTGTAAAATGCTTTACCAAAATTTTGAAATTTATAAACGAAACAGATAATCAAATATTACCTAAAAAATCCGTAGTTTTTGGGTAGAAAAATCGGACGGGCTAATGTTTTCAAATTTTCGACTTTATAATTTTCTTCTTGCATTCAACGCATAGGTAGAAACAACAGCTTTATTTCAATAACCTACCTGCCTGCTTTATACACTTGAGCTCAGGATAATGAGACTGACAATGAATGCACTCATAGAAAGGCGGGCTGCATGTATCCAGACATAAATCTTCCGGATCGCAAGGCTTCAGGCTGTTGCACGTTGGCCCAATCTTAGAAAGTTAAAAAATTGTTATTAGCAAAATATCCCCAAAATTGGCATTGCTATGCTATGCTATGCTATGCTATGCTATGCTATGCTATGCTATGCTATGCTATGCTATGCTATGCTATGCTATGCTATGCTATGCTATGCTGTGCTATGCTATGCTATGCTATGCTATGCTATGCTATGCTATGCTATGCTATGCTATGCTATGCTATGCTATGCTATGCTATGCTATGCTTTGCTCTGCTATGCTATGCTATGCTATGCTAGGCTATTCTATGCTATGCTATGCTATGCTATGCTATGCTATGCTATGCTATGCTATGCTATGCTATGCTATGCTATGCTATGCTATGCTATGCTATGCTATGCTATGCTATGTTATGTCATGGATAATTGAACAACACTTACAAGTTTATTACTGTAGTTGGTTGTTTTGAAAATCCAACCATTGGCATCCAGTAAATCGGTGCTATTATCCTGTTGCACATGCTTTTGATGAATTTCGCATGTTTTGTCTATCCATTGATAATTGTATGATGTACATTTATGGTTTTCTGCGCATTTCAATGTGCAACCTTGGTCATCAATACTGTTGAAAACAGCCAGACTGTTTCCTTGTAAGCGTTTGTCAAAAAAAACAACATCAAATACAGCATCAATCATGCACGGGATACGTAGAATTCTTCCATTCACTGAAAGCAAGGAATTGAGCACCAAAAATATCCTGTAAAAAGAAGAATAAACGATTCAATTCTCTAAGTTTGTTGATGAAATTATTTCGAGAGAATTTGCGAATTATACCTATCGATGCTGCCGCATTCTCCAGTTTCACTAGTTTTGTTATGTACTGGATTGTTTTTCTTACAAAGCAAAAACTAGACGCAGATTTTTTAGATCCAATTTAAATGTTCAATCAATTTTGTCAAAGCAGTTCTGATTATCAAATCGCCAAAAACCTTTTTGTTTGACTATAAAAAGCCATATTCAAATTTTTTCTTGAAAGAGTTGATATTTTTGTATATGTTACATCCTAAAATATAGATCGGGACTTTTCAAAACAACTCATTTTATAATGATACCTGATCAGATTGGAATTTATAATTAGCATATTTATGTTTGTCAGTCAATATAGAAAGAGCCTTTTGGTGCATCTTCTTTACGTTTAACATATGTTTAGTTAAAAGCCTATTTTTTTTGAGCGTAATCTGTTTGAGCATATTTTGTTATTTAAGTATAGCTTATCTTTAAAGCTTACTGCTTGAAAATTTGCAAAGCAAAAACTTACCTTAATGCTTCTTCCATTGCTTTGAGCTGGAGAAAAAACAAAAGGTTATAGTAATGAATACTTGTAAAAATATTTTAATTTTTAGCTTATATTTTTTTTAAATGCACCACTTTGCTGTTTCGTTTATCAATTATCTTTGCTGGCACTAGTTATCTTTTCTGGCACTAATTAAGAAAGAAATTGTAACTTAATTCCTGCACGAAATATATACGAAAACATTCAAATAATTCATTAAAATAGTTTTTGTGCCTCTTTATAGTCCTAATATACGTACGTTAGTATACGTACTAAATGGGGAGTTGCTAGAACAGTCCTATTCAAATTATGCACTGCTCTGCATACACAGCATTGAACTAACACAGCCGAGAAGAAAAAGAGACAGTGAATTTCATATTACGTTTCGCAATGAGTTGAGAGTCGAAAGATATTTAACTAGATAATCGTGGAAAAGTCATTTCAGCCCCTTTCCCAGGCAATTAGCTAAAATTACCTTTCCAAGGTAATTTTTTGTGGGGAGGAGCAAGGAAAAAATCTTTAGTGAGTGAGGCAACCCTCCGTCCAGTAGTCGAAGAGCATGCGCAGGGAACAAAATTATCATAACGCATGCTCCCTGACTCGAATACGGGGGCTAGCCTCACTCATTTGAAATTTTTGCTCACTCGTCTTTCAAACTAGTAAATGATGAAAATAAGGATTTGTTTTGCGGTGGTAACGTTGCAGGTGCTTCAACCATTTGCGAATCAAGAACTGGCCAATCACTGAGGGTGGTACCATTCAAGCATATTGATTGGCTGATTTTGATTGACAGTTGTCTGAAGTTGTTTTTGATTGACAGTTGGAATCGTAAAATTTTCATCCTAAATTTGACAGTTGGAATCGTAAATTTTCATCTTCTTTTTAACATCACTCTCGATCCAAATCAAAATAAGAAGTTTCGCTCGTCCTATTTGTTTTTACTCTGACCTTTCGTACAATGATTAGTTTTGGAGAACGATAATCTGATCCTACGTTTTTGCTTTCCCGTGGTATCTGAAGTTTCTAGCATCATTTTTGTAAGGAAAACCTGAATTAATGCTTTAAACTATTCACGTGTCACCATTATCAGGTTTTCATCAAGTAAATTTAAACAATTTTCTGTAGAAAATTTTTGGAATTTAATCAAAAGTTTTGATCAATGTGAACCTTTTTACATCCATATGAATGGCTTACCGTATAAGCATCCTTATTTTGCATGCCAAAATATTCAACTATAAATCCACAATGACGATAATATGGAGAACAGATTAGCATGAATATCGCAAGGCCATTATATGAAAAAATTAGAATACAAAAAAGGAAAGCAATCAACAATACTAGGATACCATTCAAGAAGAAAAAATTTTAAATTAAAACGAGAAATATTCGTTGACACCTTATCATTCGTTTAGTCATTTCATACAATATATCAGCACAAACTAGATTTGTATTGGCTTTTAGGTAAAATAGCAAAGGAAACACAAACTTTCAGTTCTGGCTTAATTAAGCCGTGAGACCCTGCAAACAAAAACCTTCCTAATTAAATTATATTCTTGCAAAAAACTACTGTAATTTAATCTTCTTTAAAATGAAAGCAAACATTTCTCTAGCTTGAAGCTAAAAATTCACTGAACATGAAAAATCAAAGAGTTGTCAAAATTGCGCAGTAAGAAAATTTATTTAAAAATACATCTAGAAACATTTTTGTCTTTATTTGTCATCTTGCTTTAATTCGACAATCATTCTAAGCTACCAAACATGAACTTGTCTAATTTGATTATTTACAAATATACCTTGTGATAATTTCACTACCTTTCACCTGTGCACAAAGCCACCTCTTCTGTTGATGACACCAAACATATGACCAGTTAGAGTATACAAAATCAATATGTATCGTAAATTCAAAATGGATTTGTCTTCTATCACTTTATGTAGCCACCTGTAAGACTCCTAAAAAATTTTGGTTGTTTTCCTTAATTAGTATTCAATATTATGTTATCAATTAAGTGTAGATTGAGACAATTTCAAATGCTATTAAATAGAAAAAGCCACGACGCTAAAAACTGTTTCAATATCTAACTCTAATAATGCAAAAGGAAACACGGGGGGAGTTAAATATAGATGATTTGTTAATATTGAGCATAAAATCTGTCGACATGTTACATTAGACTTCATATGCAGCGGCTGTTTTAGAGACTGCCGGTGTCATATGCGTTTCGGTAACCTTATGCATTTCGGTCCGGGTACTCGAACGCATGGCAATTTTGGTTATGCAAAATCGTACCCAAGCACTTAAAAAATAGGGTACCAAAACGAATGGTGGAATTTAGCATGCAAAACGGTCCCGGTACACAAACGCATGACAATTTTGCTTATACAAAAATGTACCCAAGCTTTTAAAAAACAGGGAACCGTAACGAATGGTGGAATTTAGCATGCGAACCGGTCTGGGAACACAAATGTTCTGGTTCATACTATTCAGAATGTAAAGAACAATCGAACTATTTCTGAAAAGAGGGTACTAACATTCCTGCGCCACATTTAACAACTACGTCGTGGTATTCCCTTGCACCGAGCAATGACGATAATTTATCATTATAATATTAATTCTATGATTTAAAGTTGGCAGTTAGAATATATATCTTAAAGCTAATTAAGGCACCTATTTGAACAAAATACATAAAAATTGCTTTAAAATGAATAAAATTAGAAAATACGATTTGTGATGAAAAGCCCAAGTCTGGACATAATATCTTAGGTAATCTGCAGTTGCAAGCTTGCCATTTCTGGTCTTTAATGAATTTGTTGAACATCTGAATGGAGTCTGGATTTTTCAATTTTTGTGTTACTCATTTCTGCAATAAATAAAACAGAAACAGAACTGACCACAATAAAAGCTTTCAAAAAGCAGAAATCTTTGTTGAAACTGTTGCGTGGAGCCAAGCGGGAGTATTGAAATGAAAAATTTTTTGAAAAAACTGAAATATCTCTTTTCTTGTAAATTTAGGTCTCTACAAGTGTAACACTGCTCGACAATGACGAGATATTGTCCGATAACAAAGTAGATGCAAATATTTTAACGACTTTCTGCCAATAAAACAAGCTCTCTAAGTATCGATTTTTAAAGAATATGATGCTTTCCGCAAGAAAAATTTAAGACCAAAAACTGTTCTGTTATCAGTCTCGAAGATTTTGATTGACTCATGTAAAAGCAAATAATGTCCTTTGTTGAGTGTTTTTTGTCTCCCCTGCTTTGCGCCTTTCGGAAAAGCTAAAATACACAACAAAGGCTTCTGAAATTTTGCAAAATATCGATGGATAACGAAGGCTTAGCGGGTGCACTTCTGACGGATCTCTCCAAAGCCCTTGACTGCCTAAATCATGAGCTACTGTTAGCAAAACTGCATTTCATCTTGAAAAAAAATCAGGAGAAACTACCAGGCATCTGTCCTGAGGACAATTAAGCTTTAACACGACTCATTTCTGATCCTGATGCCGCATGATGACCCTGATGACGCTGATGACCCTGATGACCCTGGTGACCCTGATGATGATGATGATGCGTCTTATGTGAAATAGCCATTCGCAGAAAAAATCTTGGCCAGGCTGTAAAGACATCTAACTTAAAATTACCCTGGGTAAAAGAGCCACAAAGTTTCGAGCACGTAAACAGAATGTCAAACTGAGAAGCGGAGATGCAGTCTTTTCTTTCGATCAGTGTACTGAGCCACTCTTCCTTCTTCTTAGATAGAAGCCCCTCCGCGCCTCCACTTTTATCCTTTGTTTCCCTTCGAATTCATGTGGCTCCGGTACCCAGAGTAACTTATAATAGACCGGGAGATAGGTACATAAAGACTGGTCGACTAAACAGACAAAATGCACGAACTCATTTTGCTATGTTCCACCAAAAATCTTCTTGATTTTAGATATGCTACTGCACAAGTATGAAACTATATGAAGCTGTCAAAGTTGAACGTTCAACTCCTAAAACTGTTTTCGTTAGTAAAACTGCTTAGTTTTTTCTTAAAAAGTTTGCTTTCTCTATTATATATCTATTTAAAAAATACTTGAATCCGAAAATTCAATGTTCGATAATCAATAATAACCTCAAAAACGTTTACTAAAATAGCTACGTTATCATGTGTCCCTAGCAACAAAATTTCGAGCGCGTAACAGAGCAGTTTCTAGATAAGAAGAAGGCAAGCGCTCCTCCGCTTCTCCATCCCTTTTTCTATATTTCTGTGATAAAATTAATTTGCCTCTGATACCCAGGGAAAGAAACGTTTTCCTAAGTTTTCGGGCAACGTTTTAGGGTCATACAAGTGTATATAGAAAGTTTCTTAATTTCATCAAGATTCTTCGGTTTTTATCCCTTTTCATCCCAAGATATGCTTCATATTGCACATCATCTTGTCCATGATTCTTTTTTAACCTTTTCTACTGAAAATGGATACTCACAGAGTGACAAACCTACCCCCGGCTTATTTGTTATCCATGTCATTTAATGTAAAAAATCAATCAACTTAATGGTAAATGCAAATTTAAAAGAAAGCAATTCAGTCAGTTATCTATGGTAAATATTTTATGATCTATAACCAAACAAACTTAGAATTATGACGTAAGTCTTCTGGGAAAGTGGCGATACTAGAATTTTTGAATCAGGACCACCAGAAAACCTGTTCCAATAGTGACCAATGTGAATAAGTTGCCATATTAATTGACTGATTAGGTGCTTGTTAAACTTTTAAGCTGTTATAATGGCAGTTATTCGGGCTGGGCTGTTTTTCAATTGCCAGGTGCCTATAGTAAATATATCTAAGAACATTAGTCGTTTTATTTTTGTTGTCTTTATAAAGAAATACCATAACAGTCTATCTGGCTTTTGGGACAAAGCAACATGAATTCAACAAATCAAACTATGCTAGCGAATCGCAGATAGGAGAACAAGCGTTCAATAGCATAAGCTGACTGAAATTTCACGATATTTAAAATATCATTGCCAGGGCTGTAGTGTGAAGTAAATTTTTTTACAGAGTTGGGAAAGGGAGGCCACGAAAGCTCAACTTTTTTTAGAAATCTCCACGAATTACCAAAAAAAGTTTTTTTAGCCTCCCATATCCCAGCCATGGCAGCCCTGATCGTAAAGTTTTCAAATAGGACTTCACTTGAATATAGCAAGAATTACATATTATATTTTAGAGAGCTCTTCATTTAGTCGGTCAGTAACCAAAAGGTAAGCAGGAAATTAAATGCAGTTGCAGATCGAAAGCAATCCGAGAGAAAAAATGACGAAGCAGACTACACTGTCAAAGATTGTCATTAAAGGACTATAAGAGTAAGCTTGAATTACAATATATTTATTTCAAACGTTGTCTTCTGCTTTAAAAGACTTTTATTTGGCTCCAAATTCGGTTTTTCGGGTATGGCCCAGTATGTTCGTGGAAACACAGGCTAATGAAGGAAGCATAAAGAGACACAATGTCAAGTCTCCAAACTTTTCACCAAACATCTATCGAAACTGCTATCTAGATTTTTTCATGTTGTTGGGGTCGAAAAAAACAAACATTTCATCCAACATTTCGTCTAACAATGGCCGAGGCGCTGCGGAGCGTGCACAAAGAAGCCAATGAAAAAAGGCTGGCACAAATGAAAGATGGCGGACAACAGCAAAAATGAAAGCAGGAGTTTAAAATGTAAAGCTAATGTATCAATCGTTTTGGTCGCGTTATTGGAGGATTAAAGAGTTTTTTTGATTTGTGCGTGCGCATCATGTCAATGTTGGTTGAACATCAAGACGAGGTAAATGTTGGTTGAACATCAAGACGAGGTCAATAATGGTCGAACATCAAGACGAGGTCAATAATGGTTGAACATCAAGACAAGGTCAATGTTGAGAGGTCAAACAGACCAAATATTTCACACAATAATGAAGGAACAAATTTTTTTTTCACTTCAATCAAACTTCATCCAACATCGCTCAACAAATGTTATTCAGCCAAACAAGGTGGCCAAACATGCCCAACATTTTAGTTGTTCTATAAATGTTAGGTAAAATGTTTGGTTTGTTTGACGGGCGTTTTGTAGTGACCGTCCTTTTTATCACTGTCATTGAAACTAAGAATTGTCACTTTGTTCACCGTGACAAACTCTCAGACAAAGATTTGTACGAAAATTCATTTCTACGAAATTTAAAGTGGTCATAAAGTTTGTCATGCTGAAAGGTTTTGTATAAACTTTGCAATTAAATTTTGTTTGTAATGTAAATTAAATTACATCTCAATCTGCATTCCCATTGCAAAAGAAACCAAAGGAAAGGTTAAAGTCTTTTTTCACATGGGTATGCCCGGTCAATTTTTGACAACAGTTGTTTTCCAAGTTAAAAGAAAAATTGGTCCAAACAAAGTAAATACAACTAATCATATATCGAAAACTCACCTCATGTCATTCTATGATATAAAACTAGATTAAAATGGCCGGAATTGTTGAAGCTAGAGGACTTGAACTTAAGTCAGATGACCCTTTTGAAGATTCAAATGTGAAAGCAAATAAAAACACATAGCCCTTGAAGCAAGTAACAAAAATATGAACGTTAACAAAAAAATTGCTAATTTTTTAAATTTTTATCTTGGAAGGGAACTTCGCTCAATGGTTTGAGAAGCTGATTAGTTTAATTACACGTATACTTTATAGGAAGCTGAGAACTTGAGTCAGTTGGGTACATGATGAAATTTTTAGTACTCGGAGTTTCTTGCAACTTTCTTAAGGGTTCAAAGAATTTTTTAAAGGAATGTGTGTATCAAAAACCTGAAATTGTTTTGCTTTAGCCAAAAGACAAGTCAACATTTTTGGAAAAAAATTTGTTCGAAATGCAAAAGATATGTCCGATTTACTTTCACCGCATAAGCCTGTTATTGTTTTATATATTTTATATTCTGAAAATTTTTGTATTGAATGTAATCAACAACACATTTGCTGCGTCCCCTTTTCTATGTGTATAAGCCTGGTAACGTAGTCAGTTGAATTCATCAAGACGCAACGGTCATTCGTTTCTCAACCCCTACAAATCCACTAGCGACAATCAACCAATTAATTAAATTAAAATCAATTAAAAAAGATATAACTAAGCAAACACCCCGGATGCCAGCACTACAAAATAAATGACCCCCGGAATATAAGAGCCGTTGAGGCGAGGGAGAGAGAAAAGAGAGGAAGAAAGTGGTGAGTACTGCTTTGATTCTCTTCCTTTCTATTCTTTATCTTCCTCGCCTCCACAGCCCATTTTTTATGGGGTCATATTTCGGCGATTCTGGCCTATAGGGTAGTGGAAAGATAAAAACATTGGGAAAAGGATTTAGATAAAGGAGTAAGTAACCGTAAATATTCATTAAGTCATCTATCTATTAACTGTAATTCTTAAAACCAATATTTTCGAGCCACAAATACACCAATCTTCAAATTCTTTTGTACAAAATTTTTGACCTCAGATTCAGATTAAGAGCAATGATTTTAGTCTACTTGGAAGTTTTCTTTATGGTATTGCTCACAACATATATTAAAATTTCGAAAGGGACTTGACCGTGGTGTACGACTACACACTTTTTTTATAAGAACACCTAATTTTTTTCCGAGCCTCAATATTCTTAAAAACTTTTATTATGAGCCTACGATTATTCTTAGGTTATTCTTGCCCAACACAAGGTGTAAACTCGCCTTATGATCAAAGAAAAATATTAAATCTTCGTCGATGTGTTGCTTGACCATGAATTTCAAAGTGAGAGTTGTTTTGCTTTGGGAGAAAACTAAGATTAAGAAAAAAATTTTGTCATGATGAAATTAAGCAAGACATTTTTTTTAAATTATTATTAAATTTCAGCAATTTTGAGCCTCAATATTCTTATAGATGTTATTTTTATAAAAGAAGTGTGTAAGGAGGCAAAGTTTCACCCGGATTGATTTTTGAGGACAAATCACTTACAGGTTTTCAATCTTCATTTCTTCGTAAAAATAAAATACAAGCGCAGACAATATAAAAAATGGTAGACAAATCTGAGCTTAAAAAGGTCTCATAAAAGGTGTCGATAAATTTCCAAAATGAAAACGTTAAATTAAATTTGTGTATTGCAATAAAAACTATATAGAGTAATATAAAGCTTTATTTTTCTTTTAATTCTCTTGAATTGCTGGATAGCTTTTCAAGCATTTCCTGAGATAATAACAGGCTAGAAGCAAAGACATTTTGATAAAATATCGCTTTCAAAGCATCAACCTGCTTGATTTCTGGTTTTTTTGACGAAATATCGTAGGGGTACCTTTAAAGCTAACTGCAAACAAGGAAATCTCTTTGCAATATGAATTTCTATTCTTTATATTGCAGGAAAAAAACAGCGCCTGCAGCTAAAAATATTCAGTGCATTACATTTCAATCAGTCTAACGGTAACAAGACGTAATGTTGTCGAGAGGTTGAAAGCAAGCTTTCTCAACTATTACTTCGAGCTTCCAACGAAAGGTAAGAATTGCATAATTTGCTGTTAACGCCTTTAAACTATAAATGAAAAATGAACGACTGGAAGTTTAAAAATGGGAATAAAAGTATGCAATGATTTGAAGAAGTTTACATTTATCTTGAATTTGACGTAACGGACAAATGAGTTTTGCTAAATTGAATAAACACTGTATACTGTATCGATTCTTTAAAGGGTCCATTATATAAAGTAAGTGAGGTTAATTTGTTCCTAAGCACTGAATGCATTAAGCAAAGTTTCAGGGTTCTAAATTTCTGCACCAGATATTGTGGCAACAGTGGGAATCAAGAGATTCAACTGCAGATCTGATCAAAGGTGAAACATGTTTCTTAGTCAATGCAAGGTTTCAACGTTGCCCCTTCAATGAGGATCAACAGAAGAAAATGTCTTATTAATGCTGTTTGCATGTTCCCTTCCCTTAGGTAACATAATTCATCAGTTGAAAGACTTTATTCCTCTTTGGAATACTTTTGGGCGTTTGAAACTAATGCGTCATCTCTGTAAAAACAATGGCAAGAAGCTATCTTCTCTCTGTTTTTAACAGGGACAGCAGCAAAAATACTTTAGAAGAAATGCCAGTTAGGCCCTAACAGAAATTCTGTTCCTCTTTATCAAAATGTTCTTACTTTGAAATCTAGCTAGTGGATTGATTCAAGACTTTGTCCCATTTTAGAGCCTCCGTGAATGGGCTTGCCTACGATCTAATACGAACCAATTTTCTAGCAAATTTCAAAATCTCCTAGTCCCAGACTGGCTCACTTAATCATGCATTGTAGAAGAAAATTCTATGAACCATTATCAACGGAAGTACCCTATGTGGGTCAGACCACACCTTATCTGACAACGAGCTCGACTTAACATTCAAAACACCTGAGCTCCTATCCCACCTAAGTGAATACATACAGTACTTTCTAGCTGTGGTTCATTTTGGGCAGTTTTAGGCCTGTGGTATGCGAAATTTGACTTGATGCAATTAGCTATGATGCGTTTCTTCTGCGAAAAACTCCACAAGAGATTTTATTATATGGAACAATACAACAAAGGGGTGCCATATTGCTCACGAGATTTGAAAGGAGTACGGCGATCAATGTCTCTATGTTCGACCTGCAGCGACAAATTAAGTAAAATACCAGTCACACCCTGCTGCACTATTCTCCCATTAGGCAATCAGTATGCAGACCAACACCAACAATACTCAAAGAAATAATCGTTGTCAACAAAGTTCGATAAATCTCTTACGGTAGTTTACATCGCAAGTTCTTAAGCTGCCAGGGAGATCAATGAGGCACATAAGAGAGTACCTAATATGTTATTCGAGGAAAGGGAATCTTTATTTCTTGGCGTCAGGAATCGGGATTTGGGAAATTTTTGTGAACGGGAATCGATAACACCTTGATTTGGGAATTGATGGTCGGGGATAGGGAATTGTAGTAAAAAGGTAGCCTGAATTCGGTATTAAAGGACCTTTTGGACACCTTCCTATAACAAAATCAAACAATTGCAATTCTTTTTTCTAGAATACGCAAAGAGAGCCACTTTTTCTAGATTACTCAATTATGTGGCGTTGGAGATTGCGAACAGTATTTTGAATCGCTATATTAGACTGTTTGAATCGCTTTATTAGTCTGTTATCTTTGGAATGTCAATCTTTGAAATGTCTTGTGAAATCTCGGTATCCTCTGCCTCAATCACTTAAGAACATGATGCAATACTCCCCCTGTAGTTTCATTATAAGTCTAGAAAACTGTCTATTTACCCTTTCATTAAATTATTTATACCCTGAAATGAACCAAGATACTTTTTGAATAAGAACTTGATTCAGCAAAGCTTAGTTAAAGTATGTTCTCATATACAGGAGTACTACATGCCAGTACTACATCTCAAGAGATCATTAGTAGCTAGGAATCGTCCCAGAATTAAACAAGTTAAATTTGAAATTAGAATAAGTTCAGCAATGATGTAGGTGATAACATTGAACAATTCGGATAGTCTATATTTTGTTTTCAATCTTTTAGATATTTTTGGCAGCAAGAAAATTACAATAAACAATTTGCTCAGGTAAGAATATTTCCTTTTAATTTTCATAGTTTAATTTTTATTATTGTTCTCTTTCATCTAGTTCCAAAATATAAATTATTTGAAAATGCTATTAAGATGCAAAGATGGCTAGAGATCTCATCGAAAAATAGTTGAAGATTAAACAAAACATTATTGTGACATTAAAACCAGTTATGGCTTTTCCTTACGTACCGCAGGCAAAAGGCTCAACCAAGTCTCCGTAGGCTCGGCAAGTACATCGGCTGAAATTATTGGAAAAGTAAAATTTGCTGCTCATACCCATTTTGCGTAATGAAGGCTGATACATCTTTCCACTTATGGACATTTTTATTATCAAAGCTTATACATGTAATTTCCAAGCAGCCTTGGTCCCTCTTTTAAAAACATAGGCTTTAAAAATGTAGGTTATCCCCAAAACCCATGATACCTGAGTGTAGATTTAAAAAGCATGAAAATTATGTGACAACTATTGCCTAGCCCGTTTTTGTTAATCAAAGGAGGCCTTCTGTTCGAAAATGTCAGCTGAGTAAAAAGATTTAAAATCTTCATTATGGTTTAAATAAGATAACTGTCTCTATCATGGAACAGTGATGGCAAAGTTTCAGAAGCACTAGCTTACTCCCCTCCTCGTGTTTTTATTTGCAGGTTGGCTTTGGTTTTCAATTTCTTGCTAACAGTAAATGAATCCCGTGCATGATTGATGCTGTATTTGATGTTGTTTTTATCGACAAACGCTTACAAGGAGACAGTCTGGCTGTTTTTAACAGCATTGATGACCAAGGATGCACGTTGAAATGCGCAGAGAACCATAAATGTACATCATACAATTATCAATGGATGGACAAAACATGTGAAATTCATCAAAAGCATGTGCAACAGGATAATAGCACCGATTTACTGGATGCCAATGGTTGCATTTTCAAAACAACCAACTACAGTAACAAACTTGTAAGTGTTGATTAATTAAGCATAGCATAGCATAGCATAGCATAGCATAGCATAGCATAGCATAGCATAGCATAGCATAGCATAGCATAGCATAGCATAGCATAGCATAGCATAGCATAGCATAGCATAGCATAGCATAGCATAGCATTAGCATAGCATAGCATAGCATAGCATAGCATAGCATAGCATAGCATAGCATAGCATAGCATAGCATAGCATAGCATAGCATAGCATAGCATAGCATAGCATAGCATAGCATAGCATAGAATAGCATAGCATAGCATAGCATAGCATAGC